AACAACTTCTATACAACGAAAGGAGACTGCGACCACACAAAAGGCCACACCATCATGGTCTTCATATCTTAAATTAATTTAAATTGTTAGTTATAAATAATTCATGATCCTGTATGTATCACGATACCCCTACTATTCAAAATAATTATAAGCGGGCCCCTTAATGTATTTTTTGCAGACCATATGCATTAGGCCGGTCATTTGGTTGAAGAATTTTGTTAATTCACAATTTCTCCAGTTTCCCATTTGTTATTAAATGTTGCAGGCAACTGCTGAGTCCTGATTTCAGGGTTTTTGTAGGGGTCTTAGTGGGAAACTTGTGTGATCCCATATATTATGATGCCTACATCGTTGTTTTTATTTAACTAACCCTAACTTCAATGGCGAAAGCCCCTCTGTTGTGAAAACTTTTATTTTGTATGAAGGCGAATGATGAAGAGATTCGGGAGTCGATCTCATCTGGGGACGACGGCTTATTCCCATTGTGCTGCAGCCGTTTGGCTGTCGTTAAGTTTAATGATTTTATTGACAGTTTCTCAGTAAGTCCCTCTTATCCATTATCCCAATGCCTTTTATACGAAATAACCCTCACCACAGTGTGTCACCTTAAACTCATTCAACCCGAAGTTCTGATCCAATGCTTGGTGCCCGACTTTCGGGACCACCTGACTTCCGTGCGTACTGTGGTCGAGTCAGGCCTTCAGGTGTACGCGCACAATATCGAAAATGTTGAATCTCTGCAGGCGTAAGTGAAATAAACTCGGCTTCATTTTTTTGCCAAGTTAAGGCTTTTTGCTGCCCAGTTGATGCTAGAGTTGTATACTGGCTGATATGTCTACCATTTTGCTGCTGGATTTCTTCAAACTAAAAGTCTATTTGCAAGTTTAATTTGAATCTAACTTTTTATCATATTATCCTTATTTACTGTTTAGACTCGACCAGTATTGACTCTTTCATTACTGTCAATGAATATAATCTGTTATTATACGATCGATTTCATCTGCAGGAGTACCTTAGAATGGTTGCATTTATTTATTTGTGTACCAGTCCGTCGATACTTCGATTGCTAACTATAGCCTTATTATCAATTAATTTCAGTGTATCTAATACCAATAAATTACTTTTGCTAAAATTAGTACAAGTTTTGACGTATTATGAATCTCATCAACTCTATTTAGAATCTGCGTAGATTTTCGCATTATTTATGTGCCGCACATTGCATGGGCACTTGCTTTAACTACACATGCCAAATAAATTCCTGTTTATGCTGAATTTATGGTCCCCTTTACTTTTTCGATTTACCATCACCTCTATTCCTTCTCCTTTCCTACAAAGTCCTTTTTCCTTGTGCACTCTCGTCTTCTATATATTATATTATTTTGCTAACCGCCTTCCATTTACACTTCCACTTAGAGCGGTTCGTGACCCACGCGCTGGTTAACGACAATCTCTATCCACTTTGGAGGCAGCAAAGTCACTCAGCCTATCTCTACTCAACACTTTAGGTTGTGAAGAAAACCGCCAAAGTACTCCGTGGCTCACAAAATCCAGTTTGACGCTTGGCTTCGGAGAGAAGGACCCTGAGGCAATGGCAGTCTTACGTGATCTAAGAGCAGCTGGAATCGACTGTCTCACTATAGGCCAATACATTCAGCCAACCAAGCGACATCTAAAGGTGAGACGTATCCTAGTAGACCTAGTTTGAAAACAAATTATTTACTTGTATCAAATACCCGAATTCTGCCAGAAGATTCTTTTTTATTAGGGGAAATCTCTCTTACTTGCTGATAGCGTAAATAAAACGAGTTTTTGAGGTAGATTTGAATGCGCTCGCGGACTGTTTACTCCTTTTACTCCGCATAATAGACATACTTCGCTATTTATCCCGTCCTCTTTTATTATGAGATGTTGTGACAGTCAGAATTTGGATTATAACCATTCACGAGAGGCTTATAAACTGGAACCTTTGATGTCTTGTCTCAAGTGAGGGAAAATTTACGTTGGCACGTGGAATAAGACACTAATTAAGTTATTTTGAATTTACATTTGCCTACAGCACTCGCCAACCGTTATCACCGTCAAATCCGACCTTCTTATTCTCAGCATGCTTCTGAGGCAGTTGCAATGAAAGCTCTCAAGAAATTTTTATATTAAGCAATTATGCCGGATTCTTGTAGGGGATACGGGTCGAAGCAACCATTT